ACAGAAAGCAGGAAAAGCATATGAAGTCTCACAGTCCCCAATGACTAAGTACCTGCCACTAGGACTGCATTCCCAATACAGCCACCCTGGGGACCAAGCTCTTACATTGAGTTTTAATGACCTTTGGGGGACATGATCATATTCAAACCATAGCAGTTATCATTGGGAGGAAGTAGGTAATGGATACAAGGGATCACTCAATATTATTTCTTACAACTGCATTTGAATCTAGTTATCTCAAAAAATTAGCTTTTGTTAAAATGGCATTATTTCAAAACAGTTTCTTTTTAATGGTATTTGCCACCAGGTTTTAAACATTTCTAATTTCCTTGTTGGCAAGTGATAAAAGAGGTAGGAAAATTCATCTCCCTGATAGTGGTGGTGTACTCCTGCAATTATAGCTACTTGGGAGGCTGAGGCAGGAGGACTCCAATTTTACGGCCAGCTTGGGGGCAACTCGGAGAGATGCTGTCTCAAAATAAAATTTAAAAGGGGAATACAACTCAGGGGTAGAGCATTTGCCTAGTATGTGATGTCCTGGATTCAATCCCTAGTACCACCAAAAAAAGGGGGGGGGCCTAGAAAATTCATCTCTAAAAGCTTAACTTGGAAGCAGTTACCAAGTGTTTGTCATATGCAACTAGGAAACAGGCAAAGATGTAGAAAACAATGTAGAATATATATTTCTAGTGAGGTTGACCAAGAACTATACTATTAAACTCAAAACATTTTACATCATGTTCCATTATTTCTGCCCTGTAATCATAACAATTTCTAATCAAGAGTACAGGAAGGGCCTGACCAGTGGACAACAAACCTATGGATAAGCAATTATATAGGAAGTTTTCTTTCCTTCCTTACCCCTAGCCAGCCTAGGACACTTCCCTACCAGATTCTCCCACTCCCGAGTTATCTCCCTATCTCTCTTCAATCATCCTACCACCCCAACCATGTTTGCCTGGGTAGAAGGAAGGGAGAGAAAAATGACACACAACGGCACGCCACCCACACACCCACATTCACTCTCATTTCATGCCCCTTGCTGCAATTCCTCTAAAGAAGAGGGTATAAATGGTAAAGAGGGAACTGCCCTGCCTCTTCTTGTCCGATCACTTTCAGCCCTGACCTCCCTCAACCATCACACAACCCTCCACTCCACCCATCTCTCCCCTCTGTAGTCCCAGAAGCAATTCCCGAAGCCTGCTCCCAGCTTTGCTGAAGCCCTGCTACAGGAGTCAAATTCCAAGAAAAGGAAAACACATACAGAATGAACATAATTCATCAATTGTGAATGCATTTCCTTCCAATGAATCTCTCTTGTAACTGTAGTTCACTTCTAAATAATCCAATTACTTTTAGAAATTAGAGGTTTAGTTTATACCAAGACACCTAATATTAAACTGTTATTCACCCATGGGGCAAGAACCACTTACACCTGTTAATATATTTTACCTATCAAGCTGAAATCCAGCAAGTGAAGCCTATGGATGGTCAAAATGGTATCCTACAGATGTAAAAGCAAGGTACAACAATGACAATGGCCTCTCTATGGCTGGCTAGGTCAATTTGGCTGACAAGTTGGCTGGGCAGGTTGCCCATCTTCCTTTAACCCTCCAGGCACTCTGCTTCCAAAGCTGGACTGCTACAAAGAGATCATGGGGCCTTGCAACAGAGTTCATCTGCTTTATTCAAGCCCACAGTTTCACATTTGTTTCTAGCAAATTTAGTTGGTTTCCAAGTTCACAGCTAACCAGAAGGGACAAATCTTCAGAGAGAGAAAAGCACTTCATTCATCTAACAATCAAGTTGAGTACCTAAGCACTAGACATTTGAAGATAAGGCAGTGGCCAATACACAGTGACCCCTATCCTCCCTAGTTTATGTAGGGGAGAAAACTTAAAGTAGAAAATTAAACTTAAAGTAGGAAATTAAAATAATTGTAAATAAAATAATTACAACATGTGTTAGTTGCTCACAGAGACATAAACAGAGCTGAGGATCTTATACTCTCCCCATCTATCCCATACTAGACCTGAATCCAGTACCAATGAGCTACATTCCCAGCCCTTTTTATTTTTTATTTTGAGACAGGCTCTCATTAAATTGTTGAGACTGGCTTCAAATTTGCAATCCTTCTGCCTTAGCCTCCTGGATAGCTGTGGAGATCTTGCACCTTCTCAGGATTATGAAGAGTAATGATCCTTTCCAGGCCTATAGAAACACAGAATTAAAAACTCACACAATCCATTGACCTCAAATATACCCTAAAATTTATATTTAAAAATGAAATCCAATATGTATGTAAGGGAGAAACCAGGGCTCAGCCCTACACCTGCTGCCAGGGCTGTTAGATATCCAACACAAGTATCTGAACCCCCAGGACACAGGATGCATGCCTTATTTTAGGTAACTCAGCCAATTCATCTAGCTTGTTTTTACTGTTTATGAACTGAAAACAGAAGCCATCAGACTTCTTGAGCCTCATGAATGGAATAATATGCATGGTTGAGTTTTATAAACAGCACAGTTCGAATGTTGCTCTTGTTGCTAATGTTGCTAAAAGGTTGATAAACATCCTGCTTAACACCCACCCACCCCCCAAAAAATGAAATCCCAGGTGGCAGTTTGAATGCCATCCCTATTTCTTAGAATATAAGAACTAACTAAAGGGCTTAAGGTGGAATTTCCCTAGACAGAAGTAACAAAAATAGTCACTGAGAAGTGAGGAAAGGAAGCAGAAAGTATGCTAAAAGAACACCTCCAGTTACTTTGAAATTTGGCCTAGGATTCACGCTGCAATAAGCAAAAGCACTCTTCTTTTCCTAGTCAAGGTTACTTAGCATCCTCCTCCCTGGGATCTACAACCCTTACTCATTTCATACTTCATTTACTTTAAATAACTTTTGTAGAATTAACAGGGAAGCACAAAACCACAATGTGGAAAAAAAAAAAAATTCTTTTGGAAGGGTGAAATGCATTCCAAACAAGCAACCAACAATCAACCCTACTCGAACTGGAGACTGTATATTTAACATCAACACTCTCACTAGCCTTACTTTCTACATTTGACTCCAGTCAAATGTAGATCAATCACACCACTGATCTTGAAAAAAATGATAAAGAAAACAAACTATCCAAGGTTATCTAATATTTTCAATCTGACACAGTATTCACCTAGGCCTCAATAGGGAAAAGAAGTTTTGAAGAATCACTGTGGACGAAGCCTGCATTTCTTACAGTTGGAATAAAATTTTCCCAAATTCAACCCCAAGGTTCTTGTTAATTTAGTTTTGCTTTCTCAAATAATATTATTCATAGACTAACAACTCTAGGTTTGTTCCCTACAATTAAAGTTCCACTTCTTCCCATTTATAAAGCCTGACCTACATTAAGTTATGAAGTGACATCTAAAAGCTTCTACCTGGCCTTCCTTTCTGAACACATACAGCTGTAAATGGGGGGGGGGTAGAAAAGGTAGAGATCTGTAGCCCTCTTGTCACACATCAGGAATTGCAAAGAAATAATAATTATTATTATAATCACTATTGGTACTGGGAATTGAAACCCGAGGCACTTAACCTCTGAGTCATGTCCCCACCCCTTTTTGAGACAGGGTTTCACTAAGTTTCACAGGGTCTCACCAAGTAAGTTACTGAGGATGGTCTCAAACTTGCAATCCTCCTATCCTGCCTCAGCCTCTCCAGTCACTGGGATGACAGGCATAGGCCCTGTGCCCAGTCATTTCTTTTTCTTATATGCAATGCTAGAAGCAATGAGGGGGGGAGACACTACCTTAATCCCTGGTATCTGATCAGGTTCCTCCGCCTCAGCCACCCACCCGGTGATGCGTCTGGTGGCTCTGACCTGCCTTTGACAGAGAATTCTAAACCTATTCTCAGAATGATCTCTTTATTAATGATCTCCAAGGCATTTTCCATCATTTCCCTTCCTTCACCAACTCCCTTTTAACCACTGCCTGAAAATTCTTCCCTTAGCCTCCAAAGTATCAACCCTCAAACTACTCTATCCACCAGTGCCTCTCCTCTGTTCCCACTAAGATCAGCCTCTGTACCCACCTTGCAAAGATGGATCCCTGTCTCATTCATCATCTCTGCTCAGAACCCTCTGATTACTTGTCATCTCCATCAGGATGAAAGTCCAATGTAGAATGGCCAACCTCTGCATCTTCTAGCTGGTCTGCCACCTCCCCAGCCTCACGCCTTTCTACTCTCCTCCTTTATATCCTGCCCACATTTTGTTTTGCACGTGTTCTCTGCCAGAACGTTCCCTCCCCTCCTGTGGGACTTGCTCAAATGTCAATTTCCCTACGCCCTGCCTCCAACTTAAAATGTCCAACTCTATGTCCCTAAAAACTCTCTATATAATTTATTGCATTACTAACCCACTGTAAGTTCCATGATTACAGGGATTCATTTGTTTCGTACAGTGATGTTTCCACCAGGTCTAGTACAGTGCAAGTTAGCTGACAAAGGTTCGACAAAAATCCGGGATGAAAAGTCACTTAATAAAGGTTTACTGAGCCCCTGTTCCTGTCCAAGTCCACTAAGACAAGCCACTGTCCCTGCCTTTAACGCCCCAGATGAAGCATGGCACCACAAACGTGTTTAAAATCAGGATTTCAAACTAACAGGTCAAAGAACGTGCCAAAGTCCAGAGGAAGAGTCCTGGGCTTAGCCTTTCTGGGACCAGTCCAGTTTGCTACCATCACACAGTTCACCAGGGGCCATTTCCGGAGGATCAGCCCTAGGAGCGGCGGGTCCCACTTGCAATCCCCAGGCCTGAGAAGTTACTTGTTGGGATTGGCAATTTCCGGCCTCCTGGCGCCGGGCATGATTTTAAAACCGTTAAGGCGTCTGCCCTCCGGCCTCAGCCTCCTCCCGTTAGACCCGTGTGCAGCCCCCAACCTCTGTTGGGAGAGCAACCCAACTCGGGACCTATAACCCGCCCCACCGCACACCCACTATTTCGGCGTTCCCCACCTGCTCCCGACGTCCCCTGCGGCTTGCCCTGCGCGTGCGCAATCTGCCTTTCGTGGGTTTGGGCGGAGCTGGCGCGGGAGATGAACCTAAACACGCCCCCGACGTAGAAGCCGCTTCTGATTGGCTGTTGATGCTCGCCCGAGCGAGACTGGGACTCCCGGGGCTGTGCATTTAAAGGCGCTGGCCAGTCCGCTGTTGGCTGTCGCTTCCTGCTCCTGCCGCTTCCACTCCGAGGAATCCTTGTAACCCCGCCAGCATGTCTCAGGTACAGCGCGTGCCCTGCCAAACTGCGGAGGTGGAGCGGGGCGGGAGGCCAGAGTGGGGATCTCGTCCGGCTGGCAGAACCCCGCGGAGTCCTTCCCACGGATGCCCTGCTCTTGCTCCTGGACCCATGCCCAGCCCTAATTCTTTGCACCGAGCCTTGTAAGCGGAACTTTCAGTTTGTGGATTTCTAAAACAGCTACCCACTCCGCAACTGCTGGAAAGTTGCCCATGGGGTGGACTTTTCGTGGCGAAGCAGGCTAGAGTGGGAGGCTAGGGTCCTCGATAGAAAGATGGGGTGATTGACGGGACGGTGATTGCATGTACGGAAAGAGCAAGGAGACTGAGCCCCACACTTGGAAGGATCTGGCGAGACTTGGCGGTGAGGGAGCGAAGTCACGGCCAGGTGGGAAGGCAAAGAGACCGTAGCTGGGTAGTGGAGGTCAGGAGAAGTAAGAGCCAAGTGTCTGGCGTGCGGCGGGAGGAGAGTGGCTGATCAGGTAGAAGTGACCTAGAGGCCTTTCCCTGCCCTCTAATGTAGACCCTTGTCCAGCACCGAGCTATGTGGGGCGATCACTGGCTCCTCCCACCTGCCTCTCCCCACTCTGGGCACTGGGACAGAGGTCAGCGCTGAACTCACAGGCCCCATGGGAAAAGGGGCCAGCGGACTCCTGCTGGAGAACACTGTATTTGTGTCCTGTTCCTTTAGCAGATGTTTCGAGCACAGTGTGCCACCCCTCTCCTTAGGTTAGGGCTTCACTGGGACCTCAGCCATTCCCTAGTCTGGTCCAGTGGTGGCCAGGCAGTTGGCCGTGCTACTTTTCCGCAGTGTCCACCCACTGTAGGCCAAGTCTTGTCCTGCTTCCCTCACCACTGTATTTCCAACTCCTGATGTTTCTGTTGTAAGAGCACCAGATAGTAGTTGTAGGTTGAGTAAGTGAACTAATGTACCTTCCCTCTTTATTTTACTGAATCCGTAGTCGGGAAGGGAGACACTCTTGAGGGGGGCTGCTTTTCCTGTCCTGCATGGCACTAGGAATGCTGCCTTTCCATCCTCTCATCCTGTCCCTGGGCTCCATTCAGGCCACTTTCTGCCCTATCCCACTTGGAATCCCTCATTCCTCTCCCCTCCCTCCCACTTAGGCTGAGTTTGACAAAGCTGCTGAGGAGGTTAAGCACCTCAAGACCCAGCCAGCAGATGATGAGATGCTGTTCATCTACAGCCACTACAAACAAGCAACTGTGGGCGACATAAATACAGGTATGCTGAACTGCTCATCAAAGCAGGGGCTTGCCAGTGACTGGGAGTCCTTGATTGGAAGTCTGGGAACTTCACTTTCAAACTACCAGAGGCTCTATTCTTCAGGCGTGGCATGGTCACAGTTCTTGGGGTTTAAGCTAGGGAGTTTCCCCAAAGACCATATTCCTGGATCATCAGTGTCTCAGGTAGCAGAATTCCAATCCTGGTTTTAGAAGGGCTTATCTGATTATCACCAGAAGTTTCCATCTACTGGGGAGGAAATAAAACCCCAGGAAAAGAGCTCTGTTCCAGGCTTTCAGTTCAGAATTAGCTTTGTTGAGCAGTATTGCTTCCACCCCGGGTAGACAGTCCTCCCACCAAGCCTTATGGAGAAGCAGAGAAGCACCTGGTGTCTTGGGACAGTCAGGAATGTTTTTGTGAACTACAGTCTGTACCTTCCTGATGATTTCTGTTCCCTATCCAAAAATCTTGTTGCAGATTTTGAAGCTACGCTTTGTACCACTGTCATCTACAATGTTATGTTTCCTGCCTTGGGCAGTTTTTAGACAAACTAAGTTCCTGAATTAAGAGCTGTACAGTGAGGCGGAAGCTTAATGGGTTCCATGCAGGGACTCAAAAGTCAGTGGTCATGTCAGCATCAAAGGAGTGACCCTCAGACCCTTCAAGAGGAGGGGAACCATAGCCCCAGTTCCTTAGGAGCTAGGGTGGAGGGTGGAGGGTGGAGCTGGTAGGCTGGCAGCTGGCCAGCTGCAGCAATGCCCAGAACTAAGGATCTTGGGCAATGCCAAATGAGACTCTATGGTTCACATCAAGGGCTTATTTTAAGGAAGGTCTTGTAGCAAAGATGAGTTGTACAGTAGGTGTATAAATTGTCTCCTCCCAAATAGGGAAAAGAGAGTGAAGTGGGTGTGGCCAGAGGGGCTGAGATGCTTTTCTGTCACATAGTGTTTTCACAGAGCGTGGCCTCTGTTTGAGCTAAAGGGACTTGCTCTCATATAAATGTAGGTAGATGGACATGGAGTCTATCACTGCCTGATTGGAGATATTAGCTCTCTCTAGAGCTGTACTTTTCATACAGTAGCCACTGATGACTATTTACATTAGAACTCAAAATAGTTAAATAGTATCTAAAGTTCAAGTGCTAGCCACATGAGCTCTTTTTCCGGGAAACTTAGTTGCCACAAGTGGCAAATGATCCTGAATTGGATATTGCAAATAAACATGTCCACGGTGGATAGAGGGCCCACAGTGGATAGAGGGCTCGMAGTAAGTGCAGCTTGGGATTCTGGTGATTACTATTGACTGGGTATAGTCTTCTTAGGTCCCCCGAGGAATGCTGCCTTGAAAGCACTCAGGAGCACTTGCTATTTTCTTCAACACAGTGCTCCAGATTAGGGACACTGCAGTCATTCCTCTTGGCAGTGAAATAGATCATCAGGGAGGAAGGGAATGTTTCCCAACTACAGATGATTACCCATCTGGAAGTAGTCTAACAGCTTGCTAGAACAATGGGACCAGGATATGGACAGTTCACATTGCAAGAACACCCAGAAGACTGATAACAATGATTCGTTAGGGAGAGAAATTGGGTGACGGAAAGCAGAAGTAGGAGGAACTTTGATACTGCTAACCTTTGTAGCTTTGAATTCTGAGCCATGTGCATAGATCTTTAATTTTTTAAGTGATTTTTTTTTTTTTAAGGATAGAATTCGAAGGTAACTTGCAATTCAGAAACTCTCCTGTAATGAGAACAGTTTTCCTCCTGTTTTCTCTAGATTTTTAAGTTTGGATTTCTGTATACCTGGATCTGTTAAGGCAGAAGCCACTGTGCAAGACACATTAAATTCCATGAGAGAACCTAGAAGGAATCAGTTTAATAAAAGATGACTTTCATGGAAAGAAAGTTGATGAAGTTCAATGTTAGAACTTGAGCAAATCTAATAATGTATTCCTTTGCCTTCTTTAAGATCGGCCCGGAATATTGGACTTCAAAGGCAAGGCCAAGTGGGATGCCTGGAATCAGCTGAAAGGTAACTATTTCAAATCAGTTTCCCTCCTTTGTGAAGTCCAGTAATGAAAGACTCTTCATTGTAGAGTACACACGGGCAGGAAGGAAACAAAGTACAGGAGGCACATGCTGGAAATCAGCCTGACCTGAGCCCAAGTGGGGAAAACTAGGCCACCTACCTTCTCTCCAAATATTCTTCATGCGTTTTCTAAAAGTGCCATTTCTGCAAAAGGGTATCATCTGGAGGGGAAGGGCTAGGGGTCTAGGCCAGTGAGAATGGGCTGGGAGGTAATGTCTTTGGATACGTTCAGAATAAGTGTGGATTCCACACCCCCCTCTCCACAGGAAGGCCAAGCAGTGACCCCTTAACTGGAATGGCCCTCCCCAGTTCCCTTCCAGCCAGAAAGGCACATGAAAAAAGGGGATGAGGTAATGCCTGGCCAGCCACTGGTAGGCTCAGTGAATGAAGCTATTATTTGCTGAGCCCCAACAGCCGAAAAGTATCCAAGTTTCTATTGAATCACGTGTCCCCAAGGCAGCAAGACCCAAAGTTGGCATCAAAGCTCCTGGCAGCTTTTGTGTCCTCACTAGCTAGTTGCTGAATAAGCCTGCTGTCTTCCTGCAAATGAGAAGTGCATGAATTCAGAAAAGACCACAATACAATAAATATACTCCTAGGATTTGCAAGTGGGGGGTGGGGGGGATGCCCGTCTAATTGTTCATTTTCATCAGGCACTTCAGAATAAGTCCCAGAGGGCCTCTCTTTTTACCAGAGAATCCAGGGAACTGGGTGTGACTGTCTCAGAAGATATATTCAGTGTCTTTTATGCTGCAGCAGGGAAAAGAAAGATTTGCCTCATTCCCCTCCAAGAATCAGCTGCCTTTGCTTAGACTCTCAAACCTCTTCTAGCTTCTCTCTGGTGAGAAGAGTGTGGCTGGCTTTGCTCTTTCGCTGCCAGCTTAGTAGCTCTAGGAGATAAGAGCCCAACACAGAAATATTTGATTGAATAAAGCCAAGGCATGAAATCATCAGGACAAGTAAAGTCACCATGGTGACAGTTGCTTGCTTGACTTGGAAGGCTAAGGCTCACCCTGTCATGGGAGACCCATGGGGGACAAGCATTGGATCTGCCCCTCCATGCATGATGAGTTCAGTGCGTTACAGAGCATAACTCAGGGCCATAATTCTCAGGTGTTTTTAAGTCTAATTATCAACAGATCTCGGAGATGTGGGTAAACCCCTTCCACATGGAGGAGAAACTCAGCCCTGGAAAATTCAACTGGAGCTGATGAGGGCCTTAAAACCTGCTGCTTTTCTACCTCACTGCCTCCCTGACAAATAATCCTATTGATTCCTTCTAGGAACTTCCAAGGAAAGTGCCATGAAAGCTTACGTCGACAAAGTAGAAGAGCTAAAGAAGAAATATGGGATGTAAGAGACTGGATTTGGTTGCCAGCCACACAGTGAACCTAAAATGATATAATGCCTTTTTTTTCTTCTAATACCATGAATGATGTGAAGAGTGAAAATAATCAGTTAACCCAGTTTATCAAGGCTTCCCAGTATGTGGCTCTAACAAAGTAGGGGCAGAACTGATGACTGACCCTCCCTGAATAGTTTTTATCTGAGATTATTAAAAGTATGTTTGTTACTTGAAGTCTTCGGTAATCTGGATTCTTGAAATGATTCACCCTGTTCCCATCTCTCATCCTCACCTCCTTTTTCTAAAGACGTTCTCTGGAAGTACTTCCACCTGCCTTCCTCTGTGTCCTGGTGGTCTCACCTGTTCCCAGGCCCCTGGTGGACTCAGCCTTGGTGTCGAGGAAAAGGGTTACAGAGGTGGCTTCTTCTATACTGAGGAAGATGGGGTGGGCTAGCTGAGACTTCCGATTGCAGATACTTCCAGCCATCTGTCAGGGACATGGCTGGCCTCAGGTTTGGAGGGGAGTGGCGTTGAAAAGTTTTGAAGTTTTGTCCAAGGGCCAACCAGTCCATGGATCCACACAAACAAAGAGAGTGGGGAGCCCGTATCAGGAAGAGGGTGCACATCTGGCATGAGGCTTCCCCAGGTAAAGTTCCTAAGGAAGCTTGGCCACCAGCTGGAGTGGGAGTGAGTTTGATCAGTGAGCCAAAGAATTCCTCAGCAGGGAGATGGGGGAGCAGGACTCCAGGAGGCTGCAGACAAGAAATGCTGGAGTTTGGAGGACTTTAGTTATTGGAAAGGAAGGAGGAAGAGAAAAAGAGTGGACAAGATCAAAATGGCCAGATGTTTCCCTTCCATCAATTCTGCAGTCCCACAGGAGTTATGGTTTTCTCGTTTTGCAGGTGAAGATGCTGAAGCTAAAAAGAATTCAGGAGATACTGAGGCCAGATAGCTCTCAGGCTTCTTCCATCCATAGACTAGGCTCTGGTCTTAGACAGTAGTTCAGCCTCACCCTCAGAGGAACAGTGGGCCTGAGAACAACTTGCCCACCGTCCTGCTACTGGTAAAGGAACTAAGAACCAACTTTCAAACTCAGATCACCCTGGTTCCCAGCCTGAACCTCCAGAGAGGAAGGAACACMGGGGACAGCTGCTTGGGGTGGCTGAGTTTGGCACACCCTCTGTAAAATTGGACTAGAGAGTGAAGGGGCTTGCAAGTATGGAATTTGATCCTAGGCCATGGGGAGAGCCCAGGAGCAGTTATGATAAAAGGTGATTCTGAGTAAATCAATAGCCGTTAAGAATTAGCACCCCCAGTTCTGGCCCGGCCACTGAGGTGCAGATGGGAAGTTGCTCTAAGAAAGCATACGGGCCAAAGTCCAAAACCCACCTATGCGTCCAAAGGAGGAAACTTCCTGAATGGCAGCGACAGTTGCACCTGCCTCCACACTCCAATGAGACTGCTAATGCAACCAAACTCAGGCATGTCCATGAGATCCTAGGGAAGCAATGGGGAGCCACAGCCACCAAATAACATGGACCATGTTTGGATCATTTCCTTGGCTCAGTTATTGTTTCGAGAATAAATCAAAAGAGCCCAGTGTAGTGGCACACATCTGCAGTTCCAACTACTTGGGAGGCTAAGGAGAGAGGATCACTTGAGACCAAGTTCAAGATCAGACCAGGCAACAGGAGATGGTAAAACCTCATCTCAAAAAATAAATAAGTAAAAAAAAAAAAAAAAAAAACTGAGGGTAATCTCACCAGCTGGGAATGTGCTCAACATGCACAAGGCTCCAGGTCTTATTTCCAGGCCAAAAAAAAGTTAAAGGAGAAACAGCCTTAAATGGAGTGCAGGCTGTTGTTCCTGTCCAGCCAGATCTGGCTCCAGGCTCAGTCCAGGCACAGCTGTCCAGAGTGGTGAGGGTTTGGTGGGTTAGTATGAGAAGCTTCTGGCATGGAGTGTACACCCAAAGCGTGCCACTTGATAAGGAACCTTGTTCCCATCAGCTTTCAAACCACCTCTAGTCCCTGGAAACCTCCCTTGCAATAATTGCGTGCATCACTGACTTAGTCGGTGATCAAGCATCACTCCACTGATAACGATGGTGGGGATCAGAAGCACCTGCCTCTTTCTGGCTTGTGCAAGGCAGCTAAGCCAGCAGGCTAGCTCCCAGGCACAAAGTCTGCATGTCAGCACTGACCAGTATCAAAGAAGGGTCTAAGGAAGCCCTCACAAAGATGCCACAGTTTGGCTCTGTGCAGTTACCCTGTGCTGAGACCATATTTTGTCTACTTGTTGTTCCCTTTCTTGGAATGGAAGTGAAAAGGCTTGGACCTGAGACCCTTTAGGGCCACAGCTGCTGTGGCCTCCGGTTAGTGACCATCATTTACTGAGAACCTGCTAGGGCCAGGATCTGACTGCAGTTCTTCACTTCAGTTCTTGCATTTAACCCCTCAGTCCTCTGATAGGGGGATTAAGCCTCATAGTCATTTGTTGATTTTTAGTACTATATTCCAAGACGTTGCATGGATGCCTGAAACCACAGATACTACCAAAATCCATATAATTTTTTTTTTATCTTTGACATACTGTGTAATCAGTGGGCTTTGTGTCGCTGTCACCAAAATACCTGACAAGAACAACATAAAGGAGGAAAAAGATTTGGGCTCATGGTGTCAGAGGTCTTAGTCCGTGGCTGGCTGACATGGAAGAGCATGGCAAAAGAAAGCTGCTCAGCTCATGGCAGCCAGGAAGCAGAAGCAGAGAAATAATCCAGGCCACACCCCCAGTGACCTACTTACCTAAAGTTACCATCCAGCAACCCATTCAAATTATTAATCCACCAAATGGATTAATCCAGTGATGAGGTTATAATTCTCCCAATCCAATTACTTCACCTCTGAACATTCCTGCATTAACACATGAGCTTTTGATGTGGGGGGGGGGCACCTCATATCCAAACTATAACATACATATCTATGAGATATTAACAATAACTGATACAAATAGAACAATTATACTGATATAAGTTATAAACTATTATTTAAGACTTATGACTTGTTTATTATTGAATTTTCCATTCAATAATTTGTGGACCATGGTTGACCTCAGGCAACTGACACCACAGAAAGCAAAACCACAGATAAGATAAGGGAGACTACTGCACTTCGTAGTGGGGATTGCCGTGCCCATTATTCAGATGAAAAACTAAGGCTGAGATGATATAAATAGATCCACAACCACGGCTCTTTGATGGGAGTGTCCCACGTGTCCCTTTTATGTCCCTTCCCATGACCACTCAGCTCTGCAGCTTTGCTGTGTGTCTGATCACAAGAGTAGCATAAGGTGTTCTTGTGAAATCCTGCCCTTGGCTGTGGGACCCATTCCTGAGGAGCGTCTTACAAAACCAGATCACATCTTCAAGCTGGAGTGAGGCCCAGGTGAGCTGTACTTTTAAGAACCTCAGGTGATTCTGAGACTTAAGTCAAGTTAGTGAAGTGCCCTCCCTGCTCACCAGCAAGCCGTTGTACTGGTTTCTCAGAAAGTAAAATCAGCGTGGTGTTCTGGGAGTGAGTCAGCTCCAGCCTCTGGGCCTGTTCTGCTTCTGTGGCTACCACCGGCGTCATCCAGAGAGTGCCCCTGGGGAGCTAGTGAGATAGCAGTTGGGGGTTCGGCCATTTTCACTTTCTTTTTTTTTTTTTTTTAAGAGGGAGAATTTTAATATTTATTTTTTAGTTTTCGGCGGACACAACATCTTTGTTTGTATGTGGCATTGTGACAAACCTCTGTGGCACCTCCATGACATGTCTTACTTCAAATCTGAATTCTTGACAGACTTATAAATCCTACTTCATTCTCAGGTGCTGGATCCTTGTTTTCTTGGAGACTCATTTCCGTCTTCTGGAAAATGGGTACAATCTGTACCCCACAGGGCTGACAAAGCAGAAAAAGTGCTTAGCACAATGCCTGCCAGGCAGCAACCTGAGGTCTTCCTAGCACGCATGCTCACCTCTTTCCCTCCCCACCATCTGGACGAGTCCTGGCCTGGACAGTGCTCCAGGAATTGGTGAGTAAGCCAGGCGGGCAAGCGTGGGTCATCCAAGGATGTCCTCCCACGCCAAAGTAGTTCCAAGATCCAGAACCAGTTATCTCAAGGGAACATGGAAGAGTCACTGGATTGTAAGTTAGAGGATGTTGGCTCGGCCACTATCCAAGTTAAATAGATACAGGGAAGCTATGTCACCTCTGTGAGCCTCAGTTTCTTCATCAATAAAACAGGTCTGAACAGAAGATTATATGTCCCAGGAAAGCCAGAGGAGTGAAAGAGAAGGCCTTTGAGGTGGCTAGCCTGACCACAGCCAGGCTGGGAAGTTGTGAGGGGGCGGCATAAGAGGCCAGATGATTAAAGCTTCTCAAGATTAAATTATAGGCACTTGGGGTGGAGGATGAACCAAGAGAGGTCACCAGCGGGGGCAGGCTTTCACAGAGTTGTGCCTTTAGGTCAAGGTTGGGTTAAGATCCTCTTGCCCACTGGGCAGCACCACGGTACAGAAGGTCACAGTGTTTCTTCCCTTGCTTATTTCTGTGATCCCTGGATCCCAGGGTGAGCCGTACCCTTGCCCTGAAAGAGTGTCACACAAACCACCGTGTGACAGCAGTGCCCTGGGTGGGCCTCTCTGCTCTGCTCCAAGCAGATACTCCTCTGCCTCGCAAGTCCTTGCCTTGGAACAGCTCGATCTTTGGGAGGCCAGGAGTCAGTCTGCAGCTTTTTCTTATGTTTTGTGATTTTCAATAAGTAGCCTTGCTAAGTAAGGAATGTGCACGAGTCTAGACTGAAAATACTCTCCTTTTTCTGAGGCTAATAAAGAGAGCACCATAAAGTCTTTCCAGGGAAATTGCTGAGCATCGAAGACAGAAAAGGACTCTGTACTTAAGGGGGGGTGGGTGGGGATGTGAAGCAGCCTAATGGGGTCATTGTGAGGTTCCCCGAATACCCTGCTGTGGTGGATGTAATTGTGTACCCCCTCCCACAAAAGACATGTCCAAGTCCTAATTCCTGTGCATATAAATATGACCTTACTTGGAAATATAGTGGTCCCCCTTAAACCATGGTGGATATGTTCTAAGACCCCCAGTAGATGGTGCCAAACCCCACAGATATTATGTTTTTTCCTATACATACCTACTTGTGATAAACTCACTGATAAATTAGGCACAGAAAGAGATTAATA